CACAGTAAAGAAAGTAGAACAGCTAATTACTAAGCAAATGCAAAATTAAATTAACTATCCCCAAAGTCAATCAAGGGATAAACAAAGAGTACAGAATATAATACCTAATAAAGAATGGAGGAGGAAGAAAAAGGAGAAGAAAAAGAAAAGAACCTTTAGATTGTGTTTGTAATAGCATATTAAGTGAGTTAAGTTACAGTCTTAGATAGTAAGGAAGTTAACCATGAACCTTTGGTAACCACGAATCTAAAGCCTGCAATGGCAATAAGTACATACCTATCGATAATCACCCTAAATGTAAATGGACTGAATGCATCAATCAAAAGATATAGAGTCACTGAATGGATAAAAAAAACAAGACCCATCTATATGTGGCATACAAGAGACTCCTGTGGCCTAGTATAATGATCTATTCTTGAAAATGTTCCCAAAGACATACACAGACTAAAAGTGAAGGGATGAAAAAGGTATTTCATGCAACTAATCGAGAGAAAAAAGAAGGAGCTGCAGTACTTCTGTCAGACAAAATAGACTTCAAAACAAAGAAAGTCGGATGAGACAAAGAAGAACATTACATAATGATAAAGGGGTCAATCCAACAAGAAGATATAACCATTATAAATATCTATGCACCCAACACAGGAGCACCTACATATGTGAAACAAATACTAACTGAATTAAAAGGGGAAATAGAATGCAATGCATTCATTCTAGGAGACTTCAACACTCCACTCACTCTGAAGGATAGATCAACCAGACAGAAATAAATAAGGACACAGAGGCACTAAATGACACATTAGAACAGATAGACCTAACAGACATCTAAAGAACTCTACACCCAAAAGCAGCAGAATACACATTCTTCTCAAGTACACATGGAACATTTTCAAAAATAGATCATATACTAGGCCACAAAAAGAACCTCAGTAAATTCAAAAAGATTGAAATTGTACCAACCTGTTTTTCAGACCACAAAGGTATGAAACTAGAAATAAATTACACAAAGAAAATGAAAAATCCCATGAACACATGGAGGCTTCACAACATGCTCCTAAATAAACAATAAACAAACTCATGGGACTACATCAAACTAAAAAGTTTCTGTACGGCAAAGGACACCATCTACAAAACAAAAAGGTATCCTATGGTTTGGGAGAATATATTTGTAAATGACATATCTGACAAGGGGTTAACATCCAAAATATATAAAGAACTTACACGCTCCAACACCCAAAAAGCAAATAACCTGATTAACAAATGGGCAAAGTATATGAAGAGACAGTTCTCTAAAGAAAAATTTCAGATGGCCAACAGACACATGAAAAGATGCTCCACATCACTAATCATCAGGGAAATGCAAATTAAAACCACAATGAGATATCACTTCACACCAGTAAGGATGGCCAGCATCAAAAAGACTAAGAACAACAAATGCTGGAGAGGATGCGGAGAAAGGGGAACCCTCCTACACTGCTGGTGGGAATGTAAACTAGTTCAACCATTATGGAAAGCAATATGGAGGTTCCTCAAAAAACTAAAAATACAAATACCATTTGAACCGGGAATCCCACTCCTTGGAATTTACCCAAAGATTACAAATTCTGAAATTCAAAAAGATATGTGCACCCCTATGTTTATTGCAGCACTTTTTGGATATGGAAGCAACCTAATGTCCATCAGTAAATGAATGGAGAAAAAAGATGTGGTACATATACACAATGGAATACTATTCAGCCATAAGGAAGAACAAATCCTACCATTTGCAACAGCATGGATGGAGCTTGAGGACATTATGCTCAGTGAAATAAGCCACGTGAAGAAAGACAAGTGCCAAATGATTTCCCTCATCTGTGGAGTATAACAACGAAGCAAAATTGGAGGAACAAAATAGCAGGAGACTCAGAGACTCCAAGAAGGAAGTAGTGGTTACCAAAGGGGAGGGGTCTGGAAGGACAGGTGTGGATGCAGGGAGAAGGGGATTGAATGGTATTATGTTTAGTATGCACGGTGTAGGGGATCACGGGGAGAACAGTGTAACACAGAGAAGGCACATACTGCATCTGTGGCATCTTGCTACACTGATGGACAGTGACTGCATTGGGGTATGGGTGGGAACTTGATAATATGGGTAAATGTAGCAATCACATTGTTTTTTCATGTGAAACCTTCATAAGAGTGTATATTAATAATACCTTAATAAAAAATTTTTTTAAAAAAGGAGTCCATTTTTAAATGTTGGGAAAAGAGAGGCGTCTGACATTACCTGCAAAACTTCATATGCAAAAATCTCAAAATACAGTCCATACTAGGTTAGAAGAACTAGTAGAAACCATTATTTATTCACAGGGTATTATGTTGTAGAAACTGTACTAAGCATTCAATACCTCATTTAATCTTCAAAAAAAGCCTCAGCATATTAAATAATCTGAGTTCTCGCATACTCCTCCTAGAGAATCCTACTTTAATGAAATTTCATACATAGGCACCAAGAGATGCAAAAATGTTCAGAGCTTCATTCTTCATAAAAATGAAAATCTGGAGACAACTGTCTATTGACAGTAGAATAAATCATAGTACATTCACAGCAGAAAAAAATGAATGAAATAAAGCTGTACACATCAATATGAGTGAATTTTAAAACAAAGATATAAAGGAGCAAATGAGAAAATCCCGTAAGAACATAAAAATGGCATAACATTGTATGTGAATATCAAAACAGACAAAACTAAACAACATATTATTTAAGAATACATTCATAGATGGTAAAACAGCAAATAAATCCAAGGAGCAATCATCACAAAATTCAGCATAGTGATTGTGTATAGAGACAAGGTATATATATATATATATATATATATATAT